TATTCTCAATTAAGATAACATAAGATAATGCTTTATTAGTCCCACAGTGGGGGAATTTGCAATATTACAGCAGTACGAGTCAAACAAAGCCATCAGTTAGTAATAAGTAACATGCAATGCTTAAGTGAACGATGATCATAGTGTATATAGAATATAAAAAATATAGAAAAATATGAATGGAATAGAAACGAATATATACAGTGTACAAAAGAAAAACATGAGCAGTGTGAGAATTTTGTGAAGTTAATGGATTGCACATGCAGATTAATGTAGCACAGTGAATATTGCATATTTAAGTGAGTTTAAATAAATACTTTAAGGCACTGGTTAGGGTTCTGCATTAGTCAGCATACACTTATTATTTTTATTTAGACCTGGGAGATATCAGGAAGGGAAATCGTGGGCAATTGACAGAGCAGGTGACTCAAGCTGGAAGGAAATAGCTACAATTAGACAGTAGAAAAACAACAACAACAAATGAGCCTGCACAGAAAATATAAACATCAGAGACAAGAACACATAATCACCTAACTTCATGAATCAAGTTATAAAACAAACCGAGTTATGGAAGGGAGAATAATTGATGTCTTTATTAAGACCTGGATATACCATTGCCTGAAGTCAGAAAATTACAAAAAGTTTCTTATTGTTTTGTCACAAGAACAAGGGACTACATCGACAGCTATAACCTTTAAAGAATTGGTGCTTACGTGACCAGCCTGAAATGATTAGTCATCGGGTATTTGTCAGTAGAAGTCCTGATGGCATTATGACACCCTGTCCCTCTGTGGACGTCTGTCTATTTTGATAATGAGCCTATGATGTAACTCCCTGATATCTCACAGGCCTATATTCTTCCTTTACTTCAGGTTAGTCACCATGATGAAGACCAGTGTGCTGTAACATATAAGTGCATTAGCTGCCAAGCATATAGTCACACTAACAGAGGCCATTTTTATTTCTCCACTGCGAGAATATCTTGGTTTATTCGCATTTTTTGTATCAAAATGTATCATTTCTGTTCCAAAAAGCACCTTCTGGGATGTTTACTTTCACACTGCTAATGAAATTTTATGTCTCTTTCCCAAATTAATCTGCATGCATTAATAATTCCAGCAGATCACAGTGTAAAAACTTAAGCTGCCTGGGTCACACAGGAGTCAACAGACACACCGTCTAAAACACGGGATTAAATCCATGTGATGAGGCACTAGAAAGGAAGCTTTGTCAGCATCTGAATGTGTGATTATTTTAACAAAGATGACTGAGTTATATAATTGGTTCTGACGTGTTAAAATACACAGCATAGCATTGCTTACGTATGTATTTCGTAAGCAGAGGTTGCAAGTGTGAATCAAGTTGGAAGTTTTATCAAAATTAATTTAAAGAGGAAATGTGATTCATCAAATCGAGCATATTAAATCCTTTTTACACTTGAATTGGATTTGTGCGCTTCTCTTGTATCAATGTTATTTATGAATGTTTGCATTTGTGCAATTTACATGATTATGTAATCATTTAATTCCATGCTGAACCCACTTAAAGCAATGGTTTGACTATCTGTCTCCTCGGTTGGTTTGGTTTGCCATACTGCCATATGCAGTACTCAAAGTCAATTACATTTTTCAGTGCTGGACCGCAAGTACACTGAAATAAGCAGTGACAAGTTTTACCCTCACTTGCATTAACAGCCCTCAGAAGAACTGGAAGTAGATGCAGGAAATAAGTGGAGGACAGGAGACTTTCATCATCTCAATTCACTATTAAAACAGGCATATTCCACACAGTGTAAACAAAAGCTGTTGACTATGCTGAAACAGAACTGGACTGAAATCAATTCAAATCAGTATGAAACTGACAGATACATTTAACCATACACACATGCCAAGAGGGAAATGTTTGCATTTTCCTGCATTTTAGTGCATGCATAGGTCTTTTAGTGAATATTGTGATGCATTGATACCTGGTCCAAATACTGACTATGTGAAGATGTTGCTAAGCAACCCTAAAAATAATCTTGAGGGAATAAGAGGGAGGGTGTGAGAACAGAACAGCCATGCACTGCAGAGCACAGAGGATGAATGGCATCGTGTTTATCACCACGGAGGAGGAAATTAATCGAACACAAATTAAATCAAACCAGAGCCAAGTGGTGACCACTGTCAGCACGTCATGGTGAGAGTTAGGATGCTTTCTTCACCCTCTCTGTTAGCGGTGGGTGACATCAGTGTGAGGGGTGAATCATTAAAAGTCCAGCTGCCCTTTAGCAGGCCTGAGTGGGAGCCAAGGGGCCAAAAAACACGACCATCTGTCTGCTGCCACTGTCTCTGCAGGGGGTGTGAACAGATTGGAGCACACTTCTTAAACACGTCTGTGTCCTCTTACAGCTGGGCTCAGGAGGTCAAGTCCCAGTGTGATTGTGTGTTTGTGAGTGTGTTTGGGTGTGTACTTGTACTTAAATCCTTGTGAGCCAAGACCTTATGGAATGAGGACATTTTGGGAAAGATAGGACATATAAGCCGCTCCCAACTTTCAAAGGCCTGATGAATTGGGTTTGGTTGAAGGTATTAAGTGATGGTTAAGGTCTGGGGTAAAATGTGAATTGTGGTTAGGTTAAGGTTAGTGTTAGGCATGAACTGATCATTGTTGAGGTAATATATAAAAACTTTTGGTTTGGTCCACAAAGAGTGTAAGTCCTAATCAGAAGAGTTGTGTAAACCTGTGTGTGAGTTGTGTTTTCTGTCAACTTGGGCTTTTTTTTTTTTTTTTTTTGTTTCTTTCCCTTGGCATAAATCACATATCATAATAAATTAAATTCGTCTTTGAATGATACTGTATTGATTTGCGTCTTATCTTAGATGTCTTCTTGCTTTTGTCCTTTTTGTGAATGGCTGTTTTAAAAGGTGCTATAAATCTACAATATGTAATATGTAAAGTTATTCATATTATATTATATATATTAATATCCAGGCTAGAACAACATGCCATTTAAAATAAATGTGAGAGACAATCAAATCTTCATGTTGTCCTGCAGAAGACAAGGACAGGTCATGAGCTCACTGCTGGAGTTTGATCTGCGCTGAATCCAATCCCAGTCAAACCTCGCACATAAACATTTTCTCTCATGAACGTGATCTCACATCACGTTTTATTTTTTTGCCTCTGTTTTACGAGACAGCCATGTTTTTCCATCCAGATGTTCAGCCAATGAGAGGCGTCTCTGTGTCCAGCGGAGGAGAAGGAGGCGGAGGGGAGGACTGCTGCAGGATGCTTATTACTATGTCTGTCAGAGCCCGGTGGCGATAAAGATAAATACTGTTTAAAACATCCATTTTCATGAGAGATCTACGAGGAGGATGAGCACCATGTCGGCTGCAGCTGTCGCGGTGTGGCTCTCCGCGGGTACGTATCGATTCTCGGCAGTTTTCGTTCACTCGTAAGCTTTGGTTTTTTGATGCTAGTTAGCTAGCCAGTTAGCCCGCAGTTAGCTCATTTTTTCCGAGGACGAGGAGGTGGAGGAGGAGGAGGAGGAGGAGGAGACATGGAAAACAAGGCTAACCACTGACAGCAGCACCGTTATAATGGTGGCGTGTGTTAGCATCCAAGCTAACAGCTGTGCTCTCTGCTGTGTCTTACATCTGTGCTGAAGAATATAATGCTAACGGTTCATGTTGTCTTGCTAGTCGCGTATTTAGCTTTAATTTTCCCTGGATCAGGCCTTTGTTTACATATATAGACAAATACATATATACTGTGTGTGTTAAAAATGCCTTATTAGTGGATTAGCAGCCCAATTTATGCTTAGTTACACGTTGGGGAATAGATTTACACAATAATAACACACAATATCAGAGTCCTGTTTGTTATAGCAGCTTATTACTTGTGCATTGTTTGTGGACAGAACTTGCTTTAAATGACTACTTTGTTAGTTATCTTATAATAATAAAGCAGTTTAATGCCTGATACATACATTTTGGTCATATCACCCAGTCCTAGTTTTACCTGACCACTAGTTTAAAACTCAATGGTATTCAGATTAATACAGTATAACTTATGAGAAATGTTCGCAAATGAGAACTGGAACCAGCAAGTATTCTATATTTCTTTATAGTTAATCAAAGATCAGGAAGGGTTGCTTATTCATTTTAAGACAATTCACTATTTGACTAATCACAACTACTGTAATGGCATCTTTATAGGTCTCTATAAAAAGGTCATTCAGATGATAGAACATTTCCACTCTATACCATTTTTTATTAAAGTGAGGATTAAAACATTAATAATTTCCATTGCCTATTATGTCATACCTTTCTATTTTTATATTCTTCTCATAATTTTTAGGTTTTATTGAATTTGTGTTGGTTTTTACTTCTATTTCACTACTCTTTAAAGTTAGTGCTGGTAGGATTTAAGTCAGCTCTGTTATTAGACAGCACTAGTGTTAGCTAGCTGTGCCAAACAAGCTGACACA